TTTAATATTTTTTTTTTGTTAAGTATTTTAGGGGTGTTTTGGTGTCTCACTGCCATAACATCCATCCTTTCTAGCCCCCGGCACCTTCTCCTCCAGTGCAAAAAGTGGCTCCGCTTGGCTCTTCGGCTGACGCAGCTCCGCGGCTTCAGGAGCACCCACGTTCTTTATGGGTGCCCCTAAGCGGGGTCCAGGACCGCTCTGCCCCCCCTCTTCCCTCCGGTCCATCCTCTTCCTGCACCAAGCGGGAATTTCAGCTGCCCCGACCTCCATCCCCGGCGCCGAGGATTAATGAAGGAGAAGCGATTGCTGGGTTAGAAGCAGAGACCTGGGGGCTGCCGAAACCGGGCTCCGGGAAATGGCGCTGGCAAAGCCAGCATTGAAAACATTACGATTAGCAGTATTAGTATTTTTTTCCTCCATAACCTTTTATTTTTCCAGAAGCCAGCCTTATCTGTGATTTCTACCCCTTAAAGGGTGGCATACCACTGGTGGTATTTTAAAAGAGGACCCCGAAGGGCTCTACATAAACCCTTTTAGCAGAGCAGAGAGAAAAGGAAAATACATGGAAAAAAAATAACAACCAAATCCTCACGGGGGAAGAGTATCAAATATTAAAATAGTTTTAATATTTAGAAGGCGATACTCACTTGAGATTGAAATCAGCCCAAATTGATGTGTGCAGCAGAGACAAATATGGTACAAATCAGTTATAATAATCAAAAATCAGAACGAATTAAAAAAAAAAAGATTAAAAAAAAGGATGTAGGGGAGAATAAACATAATTTCTCAATATCTAGAGGAACAGAAAATCCAATGCGGACAGCGCTGCCTTGGGTGCCCGGGGCAGCGAGGGCAAGGAATGGGGCTGGGTTGCAAAGAGGTTTTAGGTTTTTGGGGTGCAAATGCCTCTCGGCCGTCCGGGGTTTGCTCGGGATGGGGGCTCGGAGAAGGGGGAGAGGTCCCTGGAGGCTAAAGGCTTGGCCTCCCTCCTGCGTTCAGCCACAGCGGCGGGTGCTGCCGGGCAGATGCCAGCACACGTGGTGGGGTGGAGGTGGTCACGGTCCCGTTCGGGATATTTCAGCCCCCCGGGGATTGCGTCGGGCATCAGGCTTCGCTTTCCTGCAGGTCAGATTCGGGAGGGTTTTGGTTTGGAAAGGATTGCGTCGTCTCCGGGTGCTCCCTGCCGCGCACAGGGCTTTCAAACGCCAATGGGATCGGGTCACTCAGCGTGTGGTTGATAAACAGAAATCGAGGAAAAATACAGAATTAAACCAGATAAATGTTATTTCCATCGCAGCAGGTAAGATCTCTTCTTGCAATGACAGATGTACCGGGAACACGCCGCGTGGCAGGCCTTGGATGCTTTTACGTCTGGGGAGAGCTTCACCATCCCATCTCTCTGCTTCCCCTGTCTGCAGCTGATAGTCCCCAAAATTGTTAGCAATTACTTAGCCTTTTAAAATAAATCCAGCTCGGCTGAGAGCAGGCAGTCGCTGCCATTAGCCCAAAGCGAAGATCTCCATTCCCTTCCAGGTGACCATGGGAGCATCAGAGCTCCACAAGTAGGACCAGGGATCATCCGGTACGTCTATCCAAGAGCAAAACCAGGGCAGCCATCAAAAGACCATCTGCTCAGAGCCCCACAGCCTCTCCTTTTTGAAAAGGACTAGGACAGACGATAAAAAACAGTCCAAGGAGGTTTCCACACCCAGCTGGGACATCCCGGGGTGACCCAGACACCAGAGAGGACAAAACCCCTCCAGCGTATTTCTGGAGATCAAGTTTCCATTGGCAGCAGGCTGGAATTAATGATCTAAAATGTCTTTTTTTTTTTTTTTTTCCTTCCGTATTTCCTTGTTATCCATCCAGGTCTGGCTGCTCCAGGCTGAGGCCCCGGCTCTTCAGCACCGTTCGCCATGTCCCGGCAAGCACCGACACTTTCATCCATGGGGGACAAGGCTTTACTTCCATCTTGCCCAAAATCACCCGAGGAGGAGGAGGAGGCGGCTTCTCCACCCCACGCTGACCGGGTAGCTGCCTCCTTCCATGACCTCAGCCAACGATCCAGCAGGATTTATCCGCAGTGGGACACCCCCCACCCTTTCACCTTCCCCATCCAGCACCGAAAAAGATGTGTACTCACCTGGGTCGGGAGCAATGCACTCGCACTTGTACATGGTCACGTAGTCGGGCTTGAAGTCTGAATTGATGGGATAGTACTTAAAAGCTCCGATCATCTTCTTGATGGCGTCGTAGATGAAGATGAAGCTGATGAGGGTGGAGAAGCCCTCCTCCGTGAAGCGGGTGATGTACTTTATAATGAAGCTGGCGTCGGTGGCCACTAGGATAAGGCACTGTAGGGCAGAATGCAAGCCGATCCAGAGGCGAAACTCCATGTAGTCAATGCCGTTGCCTCTGAAAGCGGGGACAAGGCAAGAGCGGCCCCGTGAGAGCACGCCGTGGGCTGGAGGACACCTCCCATCCCGGTACGGATGGGTCCCGGTTCCCCCTGGCATCGCCCAGCACCTACTTGCTGAAGTCAAAGAGCAGCTTCTCGAAGATGAGGATGGGGCCGGTGCTGCTGAGGATGATGAGTGGCTGCCCAGCGAAGAGGCAAAACATGGAGCCTGCCATCGCCGTGCCGAGGAAGCTCTCCATGACGCCCTGGGGATTGATCAAACCCAGCATTATGGTGATGCTGTGCTACGTTACACCCCCACGGACACCCCAGATGGAGATGGGAGTTAAGGACCTCTGCTTGGACCCATATAGGATGGTTGGGACCAAGTCTCCTTGCTTCTGGGATGGCCATCGAAATGGCAGGTATTTCAGGACGGCCATTCCCACTTGGCAATGAATTTCCATCCCCGTCATTAAAGCTTGGTATGGCACAAGTAGGGTAAAACCCATCCCGTCCCATCCTGGCTTGCTGTTCCCAAGCCAAAGCGATCCCCTCTCCATGGACTCAACCTGGTAGTTGTCCGTAGCGTCCCCAAGCAAGCCCCCGAACGTGATGGCGTTGGTGATGCAGCCCAGGTAGATGAACAAGATGGCAGAGATGGACTGGATATGAAAGCCTTCATAGAAGTCGCTCGGGAACCAGGGCAGCTTCCTCTTGATATCCAAATAGAGGCCACCGCAAAACCTGGGGAGACACCACCAAGTACCAGATGCACGTGCCTTCCACCAAAACAGACATGGTGCTGCGCAAGAGCCTGTGCCCAAAAGGATTTCAGCCCTCCATGCCCCAGGAGACCGTGGGGCGAGCCAGCAGGAGATGCTGACGGGTGCTGGCTTTTTGGGTGGTGGGATGGTTGCTCACCTGCCAGTCCAAGCGAGTTCTTCCCCGATTTCATGAACTTCAGGCATCTCCCCATCATCGCTGCCTCCTCCACCGCCCCCAGCGCCAGCCCCACCGGCGGTGCCGTTCATCTGCCCCACTTCGTTCAGCGAGAAAACCGATTTCCTACAGGAGAGAGCCACCGGCATCGGCCACGGCACCTGCCCAACCAAGCTGGTCCTGATGCAGGGACCACAACCAAGGCCATGGTGTAACTCTCCGCCTGCACTAGAGCTTGGGTTTTGGGGTGAATTTGAAAAGATCAAGATCTGGATTTGCTCAGCCCAGGGGGGTAATGCAGATTTTGCAGAGCAGAAATGGCTCTGAGCTGATCTGGGGGCAAAAGCTGCTGAAAAAGCAGCATCCCTGAAAAATTTGCAGCAATTCTTTCTAGGGATGAAGGCAAGCAAAGCTGCTGTCCTCCTCCACCATCTCCAAACCAGGAGAGATGGGGATGGCCACAGGGCTGGGACCAGCCCCACCTCTCCCACCCACCTCTTCTCAGCCGAGGGCACTTTTTTGGGTGGCTCAATCCTAATGTTGGGGTCCCACTCGCCGGGTGGCAGGACGATGACTTCATCCAGAAACTCATCTATGCCGGCGATCAGGTCTTCTCTATCCCGGGCTTTGTAGGCAACGTCGCTGAAGAGCTGGGGGTTGAGAGAGGAGAGGTGTCACTCTGGGAACGGCGTCCAGCACGCACACGTCCCATGTCGTTATTGGACTTTAAAGCTCATTCGTTTGGGCGAGAGGATGGAAATTTTGTTTTTTTTTTTTTTCTTGGCTCTGAGCAAGGGGGTTCCTGGTGAGCGCCGGGCGTTGCATCTACTCACATCATCTACCATGAGGGTTGCGATGGCTCTGCCGATCTCGTTGTACGATTTGGCTTTTCCCGCGGGACCAAGGAGAATAAAGAGGAACCTGGGAAGGGAAAGGGGCTATGTTAGCAACCTTGGACCACCGGCATCCATGTCATGAGACCATGGGGGGCTTCGGACCCCAAGGAATTGCACTCACCTGGTGGGGACAGGCACCTCCGTCACCCCTCCCAGCATCGTCGCCTGCAGGAGCCGCACGAAAGCCACAAAGGGCTTCTCCAGGAACTCCACTTCTCCCACCAGCACGTTGGAGGCCTCCGCATCCTTGGGGATCTTCTTGATGAACTTGTTCTTCAGCTGTTGGAAAGATGAGGGTGGGGAAGGGGGTGGTTGCTGCAACTTGGCTTTTCCCCCCTCTTTTCCACAACCTAAATGCAAAAGCTGAAGCCGCAGGCTCAAACCTCTCGATTTCTGATGGTTCCAGGACTCCCGGAGGTGGGGATTCAACAGCCATATCAAGGAATAAACCAGCAAGAATTCATAAAGCTGAATTTCTTCGTCATTCAAAGCCATCACGAAGCCCAAGATTAACTTGAAATACACGCTCAAGGCTCCCTAGCGCAACGTGCAACTGGGTGGTTTGCAAAAGGTGCTTTGCAGCACTGGGACCTACATAAGGAAAACCCTGTGCAATCCCCCTGCAGAAAACGTGAGCCAAAAGATGCTCACCAGTGTGCATTTTTGCAAGTTTGTTTGCAACCCTGCGGCCCCAGGCTCCCCGAGACCCTGTATAATGCAGAAACACCGCTCAGCGCCGTGCACGGGGGATGCTTTTGTAGCTCATTTTCCCCCAGTCTCATCCTCGGAGCAGGAACAAATAATGGAAGTAGGAAATCTCGTTCATGGATTTATTCCTCGGGTCCCTCCTCCCCTGCAGCTCTTTCATTATTAGCCCAAGAGGGTTCAATACCAGCCCAGGCAGGGGGGTGTTATAATCTATATGCCAGCATGAGGGGAGGCATGTGAGCTGGGCAGCAAGCTCTCCCCTTTCTAATCTTTTAAACCCAAATGGAAAAAAAAAATCATAATAATAAAGCAACTCCTCCAATGCAGCTTGGAATAAGCAAGAGAGGAGTTAACAGTGACCACTAAGCTTCATGTAACACTTAAAAAGTCCCTTTGTAGTGGGCCTAATAGGGCGATTAAACCTAAATGCTTTGCATATTTTGGGATTAACCTTCCGCACCCCACTGCTGGAGGCTGATATTTGGGGTTCGTTCGCGGGCGGTTAGCTTGCTTTACTGCAGCTCTGATTTCGGAAGGTGCTCTGGAAACCTTCTGCCTCCCTGACATCAGGGTATCCCTGTCCCGTGGCTCCCAGCAACACAAGAATTTCCATCCTTCGCTTTCCCCTAAATTGCATCTGCCCAGGTAAGCCCAGCAAGGATGGCCCTGGGGAAAAGCAAGGCGTTACCCCGTACTGTCCCCTACAAACCCGCGTGGCATTCAATTTTCCCTTAGATTTACGCTGAAATCACGCGCAAACAGAAACAAAGCAAAGCCCGTACAATGCACCAACAGTTCCCAGCTAGATAGCCTCAATGTTGGGATGGGGACAGGCCATCCAACCAAAGAGCGGCACAAAACCCTGCCCACCCATCGCATCGCCAAGCAGAGATCGGCCCATGAACCGCCCGACCTCCTTCCCAGCTCTCCCGTGCAAAGCAGACCGGGGGGAAAAGCCCCCGGCGGGCTCTCGGGTGGGCTTTGCATTACAAGACCCACGTCCGCCACGGTGCAAACAGAGGGAAAACCAGAACCTGCCTCCGTGGTTACAGCCCGTGATCACGACAGCTCCATTCGCGTTTGCAGACCCAAGTGCTTGGACGGGATCTGACCCCTGCCCTCTGCCCTTACCCAGCCACGCAAAGGCTCTTTTCGGATCCCTGCACTCTTCCAAGCACCTTTCCTTTCCTACCTGAAGATTTTAAGGAATTTTTGTTTCTCCACCCTAAGGATCTCAAGCTACAGCAGCATCCTTGCACGTCCCTAATTCTCTGTTCAACTTGGTAGCACAGGTATTATTTCTGGGACAGCTTCCCCACGAGTTAGCAGGGATCAATACGTGCATTAATTTCCCTAATTAGGAATTTGTGTGGTGATCGACCGAGAGAAGCCGCACAAGGCTCACATGGACCTTAACAAGCACAGAGCCCCTGCCCCATTGTGGGTCGTGTCGGAGATGCTCCTCACAGCATTGCACTAATATTTTCGGGGGTGATTACCTGGTCGGTGCTCGGCGTGTCCGAGATGTCGTTCATGCTCCGACTCTGCGCGTGACCTGATGGAGATAAGAGGGAGAAGGTGAGAAAACCACCCCATGATGCTCAGCTGAATTTCAGCCCCACGTGCAAGGAGAAAATGTGGCGGCAGGACTTCAGTGCAAAGAAAAAAAACATTATTTATTACAACTGGGCTTGAAAATAAGGTGTGCAGGTGCACTAAGACAAAACCCCAAGAATATGAGTTTTTCTGGTATCAGTCACGCTGCAGTTACACAAACCACATCTCATTTATGGCTCTGGTGGGATCCCCTTGTAATTGCAATCGCCCACTCTCATATTGCAACCTGATTTTCTTTTTTTCCCCCCTCCTTGCTTCTTTTAGGACGGTTTCTGCCTCCCCGTCGCCCTTCCCGACTTACGCAGGCGGCCGTAGCTCGCGCTCTGCCGCATCCGCAGGTCCTCGGTGGAGCGGTGGAAGGCGGCGCCGGCGGCCGGGCTCCGG